ATATAAAACACTGTTTCAAATCCTAATAAAAGCTTTCAGGCCAAAGAGGTCTCCTTAACCAATAAAAAAAAATAAAATAAAATCAAAGGTATTTATAAATCGTTGATTTAAAATATGAATAATTACTTTAGCCTTCATTTACTAATTTTTTATGACTTTCATGATAGCCTATCTTTAGATACTAAATAAAAGATTTCAGCATAAAATTTTGCATTTAATCTAACCCTTCTAATTCTAATGCTATCTAACCCTAACCCTAAATCTTAGTTCTCTGAAAGATTTACGATAATCATCTGAGTAATTTTTGGCAAACTTAATATTTTTTGTGACACTCATAAGTGACTTGGCATAAGATTTTGTAATTAATTAGCAAAATTTCAGATATTATTCTTTAGAAAAGTTACTGTATATGGTGTAAATAATTTTATCAGAAATTATTTTTATATTAAAAATATTTCAATAAAGAAGGTTGCCAAAATAAAATTTTTTCTTATTAGATATATTTTTATTTACAACATTTTTAAATATATACTGTTATATATAACTTTTATTATATTAATTTACATTTTTTTAAATATAAATTTTTAATTCAACCAAAATAGAAAATTTAAATCTAAAATTTTGAATATTAGAAATATGAAAAGTTTGAAAATTTGAATATTAGAAATATGAAAAGTTTGAAAATTTGAAAATTCAAAGTTTGAAATTTGAAAAATTAAAAATCTGAAAATTAAAAATCAAAAAATTTAAAGCTCTAAATATAGCAATTTATGCCAAATATAACGTGTGAGTGATAGCCATCAATTAATTTTCCATTTTTCGCCAATTCAACAATCTTGGGTAGGAAGTTCTAGCCCATTTTCTTTAATAAAAACTTCGAGCTGTTCGATACGAGCGCGAAGGAGAAGACGACGTATCAAGATATCTTCTTTACGATATCGGTAGTGTCTTTTACTATGTTCAAGAGCGTAATTAGGCTTATTTCAGGTAGATCGCGAACGGCTTGAATTTTGAGAATTATGCATTGAAATGTTTAACACTTAAGTAGTCGTCGCAAAATAATTAAAATGCAACACGAGGAAACTCATTTATTTATACTATTTCACCGTTGCTATTACTCCGCAAGTTCTTATATATTTTTTAAATTTGTCTATCTGAATTCAGACATCTGATATCTGAATTCAGACCTAATTTCCAAATATGTCAATTACCAAATATGTACATATTTGCCGATCTGATTTGAATTTTATATTTAAAATACAGCGCATAAAAAAATTGTATCACATGATGTAACATTAGATGTCATAAAGGATAACAATTGAATTTACGTACGTATACAGTTTAGAGTACTTTTACAACCCCAAATAGTAAATTTTTTTTAAAAAAAAATTAAGAACCGGTTAAAATACTCCAAAAGACATTTCACATTGGACATACATTTATAATGAAAGAATTATATTTTATTCTTATCGTGTTTCTAAAAATGGTTTTCAAGTTAACATGTCATTAATATATTACATGTTACATTATTTGGGAGAGCTCTTCTCCAATAATTAACTTGAAAGATATGTGCCTAAATTTATATATATCGTTAAGGTGGTTTGTCCATGTGACGCTTGACTTTCATTCAATTGTTTACCAAAAAATAAAATATATTGCAAACTCCTTATGTCACCATTCGATATATGTTAACAAAGTTGAGCGTACTAGCTGTTTGAATATAAATCGTATTGTAAAAACTTAGTCAAAAGCTATACAATACTATAAAATTCGTACTTTATTGCTCTACGCAAAACAATCACTTGATTTTGCAGACCCATAGCCCTATGGTCATATGATCATACCTCTAGCCTTGCATTAAAGCTTTCGTTATTTGCTTCGAAAGATCAATTGTGATCTTTGTATCGTAAAATCGAAGGCTTTACTGATAACCAAAATTTTGACTCTTTTACGTGGAAATATTGACTATTAGCACGTGATTTGTATCACCTGCGCACTCTTTAATAGCTTAAGCTATTAATTTTATGAGCTTTAATTAAAATATCTTTTAAATTATCTGAATAAGTTATTTCACATGTTTTATGTCAATTGATCAGGAATAGAATTTTAAATAGTAGGGTCAAATTTTTGTAAAGCATACAAGTTAACATTTAGATCCAAGTTTAAATTTAAATCGACAGAATTAATTTGACATAGAATTATTTGACATTTTTTTTAAATTGTATGCAAGTCGTCGTGAAATATTAATTTTTAGTTTTTTAATTTATACACACGCATTCCAGCTATATTTTGTATTGTTACGTATATTAAATTACGCAAACTAAATTGAAATAACAAACAAATTGATTTTTGTAAAAAAACTCAATCGTCAAGCATATTGATATAATTTGTATTTATTCAAATAATATACGTTTTTTCAGATTTACAAGTTATCTGTCATATTAAAAACATAAATTTAATGTTTATTAATTTCTTCAACTCAAAAAATGGTACATTTTTCAACAAATCGTCCTTATTACATTATCTACAAATTTATTTTAACTTACTGGCTATTCTAAAAATTTTTTCAGCCTTCTTTAAATGTTAAAGTATCTGATGAATGTGTGGCAACTTTTAATGATTTAAAGTTACGTAAGATGTACAAATATATTTTGTACAAATTTTCTGAGGATAAAAACAATTTCAGCATTGATAAGGCTGTTGAAACGATATCCAATGACAAATCTAGTTATATAGAAAATTACGAAAACTTCTGCAGCGAAATTATTAGTAAAAATGAACCTTATTTCGCTGTTTATGATTTTGAATATGAGAAGCTTAGTGAAGGTCGTCGAAATAAAATCATATTAATTTCTTGGTATGTTACTAAAAAGATAAATTAAATATTATTAATAAATTAAATAAATTAATGCATGTTGTATATTTGTAGAGTCCCTAAGAATGCTGATGCCCAAGATAAATTTCTCTCTGCTGCAAGTAAACTTGTATTAAAAGAAAGGTTTGGACCAAATTTAATTGTTTTACATGAGAAAATATGCAATTCACACGAGTGGCTTCGATTTTTAGCTGCTACTTCTAAAGAATCTATAACTATGTTTTTATTTTCGTTTGTGGGGTGTTTCGTCAGATCCTAATCCATTTAAAAAATAAAATAAATATGCAAAAAGCTACTTAATTTGAAAATCTAATTCATAATATTTTTTTTTATAGTTTCAATTAAGAGTTAACGATTTTTTTTTCTAATGAAAATATAACTATTAATAATAGTTTCAACTACTATTTCTTTAAAAATTTTTTAATTGAAATACATTAAACGCTGTTGATGGGACTAACAATATGATTCTTAATCGTCGCATTTATAGAATAACATTTTTTCAATAGATTACAGTGTATGACATTTGAATTTTTAATTTTTAAGCACCATCAGATTTCATTCAACTTTTTTTTTTCTTCAGCATATTGAAATAGATTACAGATGTGGTTTAAAAATTTATCTTCTGATATTAGTAAATTATTTTCATGTACTTTAAAAATTTTATATGCTTCATAGATATCATTTGATTTCTTAAATGAAGACATTGTTCGGAAAGTTGGTTTGTTAGGAAATGAAATATTGAGTTTTTATAGAATGAGGATTTCATAAATTAATTTTCTATATAAATATTATTTATTTCTAATTTTTTTTTTATTCTTAATCAATCATAACTTTTTAATTTAAGTGTATAAATAAATTAAATTTCAATAATACAATATCTGATATTAAAAAGTTCTTAATGCGACATTAAAATTAAGTAATCTGATTTGAACTGGTTTAAGAGAATTCAATTATTTCCTTAAATTTTATTGAAAATTTAATTGTAACAGTTGATTGGCTTATGTTTCACATGATTAGTTTTGCGTATATCCACAATTCCTTACACAGCGAAATGGTTTATTTTTTTGTTTGCTGTTTTTTTAATGCAATAGCATTCAAAGCTATTACATGTCAATTCTAAATTTTATTTATTAGTTGTATTGGATGAAGGATATACAAATGTATAGTTTTAATCGATAAATAATAAATCACGTGAATTTAGTTTTGAATTTCTATTTGACCTGGAAAAAAAAATTTTTCAGAATATCTCGAGCGGCATCCACAATTTATGCTAAACTAGTACTGTGCCATAGTATTATCTATAACAATACTGGTTTAACGTAAATTGTGGATGGTGCCTAACCGAATATTAAAAAATATAAATAAAGAACCCTAAAAATTTATAGTTTGACAGAGGAGGGTTATTTGACAGTACAATTTTAAAAATTATATATATTGAATTGTTAATAGCTTAATAAAAAATTCTCGACTTTACGATATTGCTATCAAATTATAAATAAACTAATAATAAACTAATAATTTACAATATAAATAAGCTAATTATAAATAAGCTAATTATTAGTTTAATTATAGTTGAACGAGAAATTTATGGAAAATGGTTCACATTTCGGATTGCTTCTTCTGAAATTTTCTTGACTTTTTTGTTTATTAAAAGATATTTAGCACAATAACTAGCATTTTATTCAATTAAATAAATAAATATACGTATTAAATCTATCAATGCGAAGTCAGAAATAGCACAATTTTACGATCGCTTGCTCTATGTTTATTAGACGTGCAACCTTTAAATTCTTACTCATGGTTAACACTTCGCGAATATGTGTTTCCAAATTTGGTTTCTTAAGCTCATCGTCGTTGCTGTTGTTGTTGCTATCACCATCCCGGTTCTGGAGAGGGAAGATTAAATATTTCGAAACCATCAGAGTCACCCACTCTGGGTGCCTCCCTTCCGTGTAGAAATCGACGAGCATCAAACATTCCTCGTAGGTCACCCCTACAAGATCCACATTAATTTTTCAC